TTATGTGAATTTATTTCGCATTTAAGTGATTCTATCCAACATGTAAGTCATTTTATCCAACATGTAGGTGCATTTATCCAACATTTCAGTCACTTCATCCAACATTCATTCATTCATTTTCTTTTCAGCTTAGTCCCTTTATTAATCCGGGTTCGCCAGAGCGGAATGAACCACCAACTTATCCAGCACATGTTTTACGCAGCAGATGCCCTTCCAGCTGCAACCAATCTCAATTAAGCCTTAGTAGGCAAACAATTGAAGCAAGTGTATTTAAAGCGAGCATATCCAGTGGTTCAAATAATAATTTAATTTAACGTTTAAGTGATTTTATCCTAAATTTAAATGACTTTTCCCATCATTTAAGTGACTTTATCAACCGGTATCAATCAGTTTACTTTATCCAACATTTAAGTGGCATTTTCTAACATTTAGGTGACTTTATCCATCGTTTAAGTTACTTAATCCAACCTTTAGGGGACTTTATCCAACTTTATCGAGCATGTAGAGGACTTTATCCAATTGTAAAGTGACTTTATCTAGCATGTAAGTGAGTTTATCCATCATTTAAGTGGATTTGTCCAACAATTAAATGACTTTATCTATCATTTAAAATACTTCATTCAACATTTAGCCGACTTTGTCCAACATTTAAGTGATTTTATCCAGCATTTAAGTGATTCTATCCAACATGTAAGTCATTTTATCCAATAGGGAGGTGCCTTTATCCAACATTTAAGTCACTTTATCCAATATTTCAGTCGCTCTATCCAACATTTCACTCGCTTTATCTAACATTTAAGTCACTTTAGTCAACATTTAAGTCACTTTGTCCAACATTTCACTCGCTTTATCTAACATTGAAGTCACTTTAGTCAACATTTAAGTTACTTTATCCAACATTTCAATCGCTTTATCTAACATTTAAGTCACTTAAGTAAATATTTAAGTCACTTTATCCAACATTTAGTTCGCTTGATCCAATATTTAAGTCACTTTATCCAATATTTCCTTCACTTGATCCAATATTTAAGTCACTTTATCCAACATTCAAGTCACTTTATCTAACATTTCAGTCGCTTTATCCAACATTTCAGTCACTTTATCCAACATTTCAGTCACTTTATTTAACATTTAAGTGATTTTATCCTAAATTTAAGTAACTTTAATTAAAATTTAAGTAACCTTATCCAACAATTAAATGACTTTAAGTATCAAACACGTACTAGGTGACTTTATTCAACATTTAACCTACATAAATTATTATACATTATCTACATAAAATTGACTGAACTTTTCTTATAGCAACTAAACTAGACCACCAATGGAGTAGCATTTTGCAAGTTGCAAAAGTGCTTTACAGAACTTTCTCCAAGCTCATGGTCCATTGAGAAGCTAAATGATCTGTTTACCCAAAACCCTTCATGCAGAAATTCAAACGAACCCCATTGAACAAACAGTGAGATTAGAGGACTGTCTAGACTGCTCAAATTGTACTCTCTAACATTCGAATGAGAGATTTCAGCCCAAATGCTAGTTCTGGTTCAAATATTATTTTTGTTTTTGTTTTTTGTTTTAGGGTAAATTTTAATAGTAATTGATGCAATAATGTAATTATAAGCTTTTCAAACCCTGTTTAATGACTAAACTATATCCCAGCATTAACACCTAATAATAAGATAGTGTTTAAGTGTGGATAACTCAAGTGAAGAGACTCTTTCCATGATTTCTGCATGGCTGCTTCCTGCATCACTTAAGACTAAGAAGAAGAGATGGGCTCCCCCAATTTGCATTTCTCATCAGGGTCAGAAGCGCTTTAACATGCAGTGAATCTCTGATGTTGCTTTTGGTTTATAATAAAATGCATGAAACAGCAGTGAAGATATTGAATACTAAAACATCATTACAGTCACATTAGCCAGTGCCACTAGAGAGTCTCTGCTGATGAGAAATAACACTGCAGGATGGAAATTATAATAATGGATTAAGAAGAGGTGCTGACAGTGTACCCTCTCCTCTGTCCCATCCTGAAGGTCGTTGCTGCCCTCAGACTCGTTTTGATATGCAACATCAGTTTTTATGTGCCGTTTAGAAAATGTGACAGACTGTGTACATGTGATTGATGTGTACAGCTTTAAAACCCAGCAGTTTGCATAAATGTTTCTGTTTATTAAACAGTTTTATTTTCTCAGGTGCCTAGGAAGTCTGATGGCTACCTAAAAAAGCTTTCAAATACGTTGATACATCATAAAGGTGAAAGAAAAGTGTCAACTTTTCATTTTTGAGCTCCAATGCTATCGATTACACATAGAATTTCTCTATTAACATTCCTGATAGTATTTTGGTTCCCAACATATAACACTGCTGTTGCAGAAAAAAAACATCTTATCAGAATCTTACCAATAAAAATTAAGTGATGTTTAAGTGATTTTATCCAACATTTAAGTCACTTTATCCAACATTTAGGGGATTTCATCCAACATTTAACAGACTTTATCTAACATTTAAGTGATTTTATCCAACATTTAGGTGACTTTATCCATCAATTACATGTATTTATGCAACATTTAAGTCATTTTATCCTACATTTATGTCACATTATCCAACATTTAAGTGACTTTATCCAACATTTAAGTAATTTTATCCATCATTTAAGGCGCTGTATGCAACATTTATGTGTTTTTATTCAACTTTTAAGTGACTTTATCCATTATTTAGGTGAGTTTATCCAACATTTAGGTGAATTTATCCATCATTTACATGGCTTTATCCAACTTTTAGGTAACTTTATCCAACATTTAAGTAGTTTTAACCAACTTTCAAGTGACTTTGTTTAACATTTACAGTAGGTGACTGAATATCTATCATTTAAGTTACTTTGTTCAACATTTAACAAATTTTAACAAACATTTAGGTGACTTTAACCATCATTTAATTGACTTTATCCAACATTTAATTGACTTTATCCAACATTTAAGTCATTTTATCTAACATTTAAGGGAGTTTAGCTAAAATTTGAGTGATTTTACCTAACATTTAGTTGACTTCATCTGACATTTAGGTGACTTTATCCAAATTTTAAGTAATTTTATTCAATATTTAAGTCACTTTATCCAACATTCATAGTATTTTGGTTCCTAACATATAACACTGCTGTTGCAGAAAAAAAAAACACAGCAGCTGTGGTTGCCATATATATGTGTATACATATGTCACTATAAATTTGTATTGTATTTCATCAATTTATAGTGATGTTAATGCTCCAGTGTTTTGAAGTACACTGAAAAAAAAATTCAAAAATGATTCCTTGTATTTATTAATTGTTTTTTATAGTTAAGTGGTTGTAAACAATTTTTTGGGCTAAATTTAAACAAACAAATTAAGTTGAACGTTCCTAAATTTAATTTGTTTGTTTAAATTCAACACATTTAAATTGTTTGCAACAATTTTGCAAACATCAATTTTTAAAGTGTATTTTAATCATTTAATTCTAATGATTTAGTGGAACAATCTTCATAATGATGCAAAAAGTATGTAGAAACCTATTTATTTACAGATCATTTTGGTGACAGTCGAACTGCTAAACATTTGCACTGATTGATTATTAAATATTTATATAACAAAGATTAAAAACTGTAAATTCTAATAACATAGCCTACCTGATTCCTCAGAATATATTTTTTTTAGTGTCCAACAGTAGAAGGAAATTCATAAAACGTTTACAACCACTCGAGTGTGAATAATATGAGAGGAAACTTTCATTTTGGGGTGAATTTGTTATTACTAGTAACAAATATATTTGAAATCTAGTCCCTTTAATGCCAATTATTTATGTAAACTATATATTGTTATTTTATGTTTAAAAATTAATATACTGGATATATGGCCATACAGTATACCATAGTAAATCCAATATATTTGAGCACACTTTTTGATGCTTGTTCAAACTACTATTTGAAATGAACTGAACAACACAATTTTTGAGATTTTTCTAGGACAACTTAGTTATTTTATGTTTAATTCACTTAATCTTGTTAAGTAAATCATTTTGTGTCGGGGCAACCCAATTTTGTGAAATTTGTGGAACCCTGCATTTTTTACGGTTCCTCTGTAAAACCTTTCCCAGTAATTGGTTGCAGCCGGAAGGGCATTTTCTGCGTAAAACATATGCTGAATTGAAGTTGGCGGTTCATTCGGCTGTGGCGACACCAGATTAATAAAAAGACTAAGCCGAAAATAAAATTAATGAATGATTTAGGCTATATGCTGTATTTCAGAATTTATCTAAACTGTTAGACATTTTATTGTATTTTTGTGATAACTTTACTGACTTCACAAGATCTTTATTATTATTCATTGTTATCGTTTCCATTTTAAATGGTTTACAAAAATCATTTTCATTCATTATTCTATTTGAAATACATTTTGTGATGCATGTTAATTGGTTTACAAAGATAATTTTCATTCATTATTCTATTTGAAATACATTTTGTGATGCATGTTAATTTTTGTTTTTCGTTAATTAGTGTCTCGTTTTTTTTTTTTTCAGCTAGTAGCTGTAGGCTACTTGATTACTTTGAGAAAAGTATACCCCAAATGCCATATAAGTTGCTTTAAAAGTACTTCCAATGCAGTGCTATTACAGTAGTGAACTGTAAAGAATGTACAGTGTGGTATTTTATTACTGAGCATTTTTGCAGCAGATCACTTAAATTGCAGCAAAGTCTAACAGTGTACTTTACTTATCCTCTCAAAAAATGTATTTGCAATTATTTACCACGGCTGCATGAGAGGCGGGTTTTTGTTTCATTTCTGCATATCCACGGAGAACAAAAAAATGACAATAAATGACTTTGACTTTGACGGGGCACTTTGAAAGAGCGAGCGGCGGCCAGGCGGAGTCTCGAGTCGTCTTGGGAAAAGCAGCCGGTCGTCAGTCCAGCCCCTGGGCGGAGGATCTGGAGATTGATGCCCCTTTTTGCGCTCCCCGCTCAGTAGTAACACACTCGGTATAGTCACGGGCAGAGGCGTGCATGTGCTCGGCCAGTGAGTGGACTCTGGACGGCAGAGTTGAAGACTTTAGAGAGCTGCTAGGAGAGAACGGACAATCCACGCTGCATTGTGTCGTCTTTTCTGCGCTTTTGAGATTTGGAAGCAAGTGGAGTCGGATACAGCGAACGACACAGACATGTAAGATCTCTATCGCAGGCTTAAATCAGTTTCTGACTCACTTTTGGACTCTGCGTTCCGTTTGACAGTTCGCCATACGTGTTTTCATTTGTTTACATTGCATATGGCTGTGGATAGATGGCGTTTAATGTGTACGCTAACTTTTCTTTTTACGAAGATTTAAGGTTAAAATGCATTTCATTTCATGTGGGAAAGTTTATATTTAATCTGCTTTTACCTCAGTTTTTTAAACGAAGTCTTTCTAAATGGTCAAGATGTGACATTTTAAACAGATTTTAAAACAAACGCGTGTATAATTTTAATTTATACAATTAGCTAAATGCTGTTTTACAATTAGTTAGATAGCAAGTCAGATTATCCTACAGTATTTGAACATCCTGAATTATTAAAATAAAATGTTTACATGTTTACATGTGAAAATTACTGACAGGTAATATTTTAAATTCCAGAATTGTGTATTTCCATTAATATTTTCTTGAATGTATGTTGATGTTGGTTAAATAACATGTGTACTCCAATGCATGTGTTTTACATCTGTTCGGTAGTGTTTTTATAGTAAACATATCTTTCTAAAAGGATTTTTGACTTAAGAATGATAAATCACTTATTAACCCTTACTAAAATAAACTATGCTTTTAACACAGTAAAATGATAGTGACTGTTTTTTGGCAGATTGATTACCATTTTTATAACCACAGTCATTACAGGTTAAACTATGGGTAGTGAAGCAAAAGAATGGTTGAATTGTGGATAATGTACTTTTAATGACAGTATGTTTGATAGATTAGTTGGAATGGAATGGGCATCTGTGATTGGTCTATTGGTATATTTTGCTGTTAATTTACTCTTTCTCTGGCCATCCAAGATGTAGGTAATATTTGTCTCTTCAATAAAGCATTAAAGAAGATTTTTAGCTGAAACTGTGATCTTTGGTGATTTGTAATGCAAGTTAATGCTACTGACACGTTGAGTGTCAAAATAAAATCATACAAATAAAACTAAATAATTAATCTGCTTTTACCTCTGCTTTTTAACCATTGAAAAAACAAGTCTTTCTGAATGATCTTAAGTTTTGACATTTTAAACACATTTTAAAACTAATTTTTAAATCAAATGAGTACAAAGAAAAAATGAGCAAAATGCTGTTTTACAATTAGTTAGATAGCAAGTCGCATCAAGCTACAGTATGCCAACATCCTGAAATATTAGAATAAAATGTTTACATTAATATAAATGTTACAATTTAATATGTGTAAATTACTGGCTAGCGTAAATTTCAGAATTGTGTATTTCCAGTCTTCGTTTCGTACGACTGAACTCCACTAAACTGGCAAAACGTAAAATACTTACGTTTTCTCGTGAGATTAGGCTGGTATGTTGATATTGGTTTAATAACGTTTTGTACTCTAGTGCAAGTGTTTTAAATTTGTTTGGTGGTGTTTTTCTATGGAAAATTTATCTTTCTAAAATGTTTTTGACATCAGAATCACAGATCAGTTTATGACTCATACTAAAATGAATCATGTTTTTATTATAGTAAAATGATAGTAACAAAGTTTTTTGGCAGAGTGATTACCATTTGTATAACCACAGTTATTACAGGTTAAACTATATGAGAATGTGACGCAAAACCATGTTTAATTAGATGTTACTGTGCTTTTAACTACAGTTTCATTTCTAGTTAAACCATGGGTAATTTAACAAGTAAGAACCATACACATTTTTTTCATCCAGTGTGATCTGTAGTTTCTCCAGATAGAAATTTGCATGAGAAAGTGAACACATTTCAGTAACATTTTAGAGCTTGTCACCTCAGATTTATGGCTGGAAACAGATGTCCCAGTGTTTTACTGAGGCTTCTACACTTCTTGTTATTTCCTCAGGTGTAACCAAGCAGGAAGACGTCGGGAGGATCTGGGCCGGTGGGCTTAAGAGCTCTGTCTGTGCACTCAACCAGAAATCGGTGTCTTTTGCATCTAAACGAAAGCCTTAGAGTTTGAACCGAGCAGGATGGCATCCAGCCTTACATGTGCAGGTGTGATTTGGGCCCTGTTGTCGTTTCTTTGTGCTGCTACATCTTGTGTTGGCTTCTTCATGCCATATTGGCTGCTTGGGTCACAGATGGGTAAGCCAGTGTCATTTGGGACTTTTCGCCGCTGTTCATACCCCATAAGGGATGAGGCCCGTGGTGGGACTGTTATGTTGGAGCAATGTGGGCGCTACGCCTCCTTTCAGGGCATCCCAAGTCTGGAGTGGAGAATCTGCACGGTGGTGACAGGGATTGGATGTGGACTGCTGCTCCTGGTTGCTCTCACAGCAATAATGGGATGCTGTGTTACGGATCTAATCTCTCGCACCATAGGACGAGTGGCAGGAGGGATACAGTTTGTTGGAGGTGAGTTCAATTACAATGATATTCAATGGATCAGTGTTAGGTCCTGTGCTGGGCTTGGTTGTTTTATTTATTTTTTGTGGACAGGACCGGCGCGTCCATAGAGGCTACCTAGGCGGCTGCCTAGGGTGGCAGAATAGAGAGGGCGGCGTCCCCGAAACTACCCTCGCCACCAGCGCCCTCAGTTATATCCATGTCTAGGGCTGCAGAATAGAGAGCGGCATCCCCGAAACTACCCTCGACACCCGCGCCCTCAGTTATATCCGTGTCTAGGGCTGCAGAATAGAGAGCGGCATCCCCGAAACTACCCTCGCCACCCGCGCCCTCAGTTATATCCGTGTCTAGGTTGGCAAAATAGAGAAAGCGGATTCTTCGACACTACCCGCACCACCCACGCCCTAAGTTGTATCCACGTCTAGTGCGGCAGAATAGAGAGAGCGCCCCCCCTTCCACCCCCGTTTATGGTTGAGGGCGACATGACCGTCCTTTGCCTAGAGTAGCACTTCAGCTTGCTCCGGCCCTGTTTGTGGACAGACCCTTTTTCCAATGCCCCTACCTAAAACGGTAATGACACACAGAATCAGGAATGATCTTGAGTTCTGGTTTAAACTCAGGTTTTTGGAAGTTCAGTTCTTCAGTAGGACAATATGATTTAGGGGTATGATTCTTGCTTCGGGTGTGAGAGGTGCCAGCTTTAGATCCCGGACGAGCCCCCATATGTTACAACCAGCTCAAAATTGTAACATAAGAGACAAGGCTGACCGGGTAAATTGTAAAGAGAAATGATTTATTAACAAATAACATAATTGACAAATGATATCCAAAGCAAAGTCAGTATTAGTGGAAGTCAGTGGTGAATAGCATATGAATGAACTGAGCTCTTGACTCAAACTAAAACAAAATAATAAAAACAACAGGCAGGAAGGTCCAGCTAATTGGGCTCCCTTGCTCGTGAAATGTTGGGCAGATAATGGCTCTCAGGTGAAATGACCCACCCACAAACTACTAACCAGGCTCTGCAAATCACAAAAATCAAACAAACAAAACAAACAGGTGAAGCACGGGACCTAACTATAAGTACCTGGAGAAACTGTGGTATGAATTGATTGATAGGTAAAAGCAAATGTTTGATTGATTAGTTAGAAAGGAATGGGCATCTGTGATTGGTCTATTGTATATTTAACCCAAAAATAAAGTAATTCTGCTGGTAATTCACTAGCTCTATGGTCATCCAAGATGTAGCTGATATTTTTCTCTTCAAGTAGAGCATTACAGAAGGTTTTCAGCTGACATTGTGATGGTTTGAGAAATGTATTGGGATGAATGGATTGATAGGTGAAAACAAAAGTTTTATGGATTATTTAGAAAAGAATGGGCATCTGTGATTGGTCTATTGGTATATTTGACCACAAAATGAAATAATTCTGCTGTTTATTTTCTCCCTTTTGAAGTAAATTTCCTCCAAATCAGGATGTAGGTGATGTTTTTCTTTTCGGTAGAGTATTAAAGAAGCTTTTAGTTGAAATTGTGATGATTTTAGGTAGAGCTGCACGACATTGGAAAAATCTGACTTTGCCGTAGTTATATAGCGATATATATTATGATATGAATAAAAATTTCACCAGATAGCTTTAAAAGCTTTATTTAGAAATTAATCGTTTAATTTAGATTATTTCAGATTTTGTAAGGGTGTGAAACATGTATAAAAATAAACAACATGCAAGCAAAAATAATTACAATAGACCAAAGAATAAACAGTGTCAAAGTCAAAGTCAAATAAACAGTGCTTCATGGTTGTCTCGAGAGTCAAGCGGCATTCAGGTACAGAAATCGAACAATTAAATGTAAAATATAAAATAACACTATATAGTCTTCTTTGTTCTAACTTATATATTCGTTAGAATGGATAGGCATCTCTGATAGGTCTATTGATATATTTTATCGCAAAACGAAATAATTTTGCAGTTAATGTACTCCCTCTCAGGCCATTAAATATGTAGGGGATATGTTTCTCTTTAAAAGAGCATTAACGAAGATTCTTAGCTGAAACTGTGATCTTTGGTGATTTGAAATGTGAGGTAATGCTTACTGACATTTTGAGTGTTAAAATAAAATTATACAAGCAAAACAAAATACCTGTCGCTCATGAGGATACACTGAGGTCTTATAAAACGAAATGATTGGTTTGTGGAAGAAACTGAACATTAATCACATTATTACCTTTAATCCAAAAGAAAAAAAATCCATCTGTAAACTTATTTTTGAGTTTGATGTTATTTAATAATAACTTAACATAATGTAATAAAATATAAAATAACTAATAAGAAAATAAAACAGTGCAATATTATATTTGGTAAAATAACCTTAAATGGGCCAACCCACTTTCTTTTAAAGGGTTAGTTCACACCCCAAAAGAAAATTCACTCAGTATTTACGTATTCCTGAAGTGGTTCCAAACCTTTATGATTTTCTTTCTTCTGTTGAACACGAAAGAAGATATTTCGAAGAAAAAACCTGTAACCATTGACTTATAGTAGGAAAAAACAATAATGTGGAAGTGAATGGTGACTGGTTTTAAACTTTCTTCAAAATAACTTCAATTGTATTCAGCAGAAGAAAAAATCTCAAACAGGTTTGCAATAAAAAAAGGGTGAGTGAATTGTTTGTATTCTTGGTTGGAATTATCCCTTTAAGTTTCTGTTGCCATTGGTTGGCTGCTGTAATGTGGTGCATTTATTGGTTGGAAACTTCAAGGAGTTGTCAGAAAGATGGATGAATGTTTTAAAATGGATCCTCAGATGAAACGCCACAGCTTTGTGAACACATGCATCCTCCTCAGACGTGAGTTCTTATAGTGTCTCCTGATCGGGAACACATGACGACAACTGTATCCTCTTAGTGAAATTGGGTTTGCTTGTTTTGATAATGTGTTGTTACGATTCGTGTCATCCTGTGAAGAGAAGAGCCTGTGACCTCTTGCTGATTTGGGCAAAGACATCAAACTTGCATCCTGGTGAAAATCGGTTTGAGTTTGTTTGGTTACCAAACAAATAGTGAAAAGCAAACAACAGTTGCCTTTCATGTCTTTAGTGCTGGTTAGATGGCATTCCTTTTTTTTTCAAGTGACAATTGAGTTACAATTGTTAACATAGGAGGGGGACATGGTGGCTCAGTGGTTAGCACTGTCGCCTCACAGCTAGAAGGTTGCTGGTTCGAGTCTCGGCTGGGTCAGTTGGCATTTCTGTGTGGAGTTTGCATGTTCTCCTTGTTGGTGTGGGTTTCCTCTGAGTGTTCCGGTTTCCCCCACAGTCCAAACACATGTGCTGTAGGTGAATTGAATAAACTAATTTGTCCATAGTGTTTGTGTGTGATAGAGTGTGTATGGATGTTTCCCAGTACTGGATTGTAGCTGGAAGGGCATCCGCTGTGTGAAACATGTGCTGGATAAGTTGGTGGTTCATTCCACTGTGGTGAACCCTGATTAATAAAGGGACTAAGCTGAAGGAAAATGAATGAATGAATGAATGTTAACATAGGACATCACTAATTTTATAATCGATAAGGGGATATTGTGAAAAGTGATTCCCTTTCCCTCATGTCATCCCAGAACGTCTATGAAGAAGATATTTTGAATTTGTCCATTCACAGATAGTCAGTGGAGTCCAAAAAACAATGCATTTTATGTACAGAAACATTATTCAGAGGTAGTGGTGTAACAGATCTCAAATCTCATTGTTTGAATTAGGGCTGCACAGTATTAGAAAAGTCTGACACTGCAATATTTTATTTTTTATATAATGCATCTATTCAATTTTATCAAATAATTGAATAGCACTACTTGGAAAGAAGTTATAGTCACACTTTATCTTAAAGAGCCCATATTATGGGTTTTTGAAAATTCCCCTCCATGTAGTGTGTAACACAGCTCTAAGTGAAGTGAAGTATCCAGCTAAGGCTTAAATCTGTAAGAATACAGTGTTTAAAACGGTTGATTCATCTATAAAAGAGTCGACTCATAGTGCTTCAAACGAGTCGCCTTGATACCGACTCATTAGGTGTTTCGCCATGACGTACGAACGAAACCAAGTTATTCACGTGCACGCGCAAACCCGGGAGATTTCAAACCTGAGGCCCCGCCCTCTGACGCAGAAACCCAGACACACACGCACACCCACAAACACACGCACACCCACAAACACACGCACACAAACATGCCGGTCGATTGAAGTCACACTGCAGATGGACATTATATTGAGTCTCTACCCAAAGATGAAACATCAGCATTATAACCAAGCAGTTGGAAACTTCTGGAAGCTACATGCTACAAAGAATACTTCATCTGAGTTTGTTAAAGGAAGGATCAGTAAAGAGTAACTGATGGACGTCAGGATGGGTTTCTTCCATTTCTCAAGTGTAAGTACGTGCGGTTAAAGTTGTTGCCTCGTTTACTCTAGCTTGCAAATGTATTTAGTTGTGATTTGTTACTTGTAACCGCGTGTACTGTATCAGGTTAACTGGATATATTATCTTATCGCGTGCAAAGTCACGTTAAAAACGCGACGCGTGCTGTTTGTTTATGGAGCTCCGTGCTAGAGTTCCGCTCCCGCGATTTATTCGGAAATTTATTCCCGCGCCGCAGAAATCTGGCGCGGGGACAGCCGCGGGAATAAATTTCCGAATAAATCGCAGGAGCGGTCGGTAACGGGTTTAATTTGGGACGGGAGCGAGCTGTCTAGCAATATCACGGATATTGCTATGCGAATTAGAAAGAGAGAGTCTGCGTGGTGCTTGTGTGTGTGTTAGTGCGCACGCGCGCGTATGAGAGAGAGCGAGAGAGAGAGAGAGAGAGAGAGAGAGAGAGCGAACGAAAGAACGAGCTTTGTGTGCTTTGTGCTGTGTGTATACAGACAGCTTGGCTGTCTGGACTGTATACTGGGTGATTTTTGGTTGTGTTCTCCGCTCTAGCGGGATCAGGCGCGGCGGGCAGAAAACGGAGTGGGTTC